AAAAAGGTCAACTTAATACCAAAAAAATATACTTTGAATTTAACATAAACAATCAAAAAATTCAAGTACTTTAAAATATTTATGCAAATTTATATAAACCTACTTTAAAATCTTTATTATCTTTTTTATTACTTTCTTTAGAAATTCTTCTAATACAAAACATAATATCTAACTTTATATACCAAAACCAACTTCTAAATTTTCACAAAAAGTTATTATTTCTTAATCTAACTAATTTATATATTTATACAGATGCCTTTATATTTAATTCACAAACATATAACATCTTTATTAGCATTACCTAGATTCTAAAAAATAATACAAATTAAATTTAATGCTTTTATAATTCATATATCAAACTTTATATAAGCAAAACTAGTAGCACTTATTCTTTTGTTTTTTATCTTATCTACTAACTATTTAATTTATATTTAACTTGATAGTTATCTACTATACAAACTCTTACAAATTCAATACTTTATAAATATAACTTCCAAATTAAACAAAATAATTAAAATATTATCTATATTCTAAATTATCTAATCAAACTCAAAAATATTAATTATATTATATTCAAAGTCAAATTATATTCAAACAATACTTTATATAATATAGTTAATATTTTAGCCAAACATGATACTAAAAAGACTAAACTAAAATTTAATCTTGATTATTTTTATTTATTTACTTTTTTTACTTAAAAAAAAATACCAATTATATATAAACTTCATAAATTCTGCAAAAATTTCTTTTTTATTTAAATATTTAATAGACTTTTTAACTTAAACTACTATAAATATTTTACTATAAACATTTTATTATTTACTAAAATTATTAACTTTTAAAATTCAAATCTGAAACTCTATTTTATTAGAAATAAAATTATTTTAAATAATTTACCAACAATGTTAAATTTAAATATTCATTATTCTTTACTTTATTTAACTTCAAACTGCTTATATTATAACATAACTAATATAAAAATACTAAACATTTACTTTAATGCTTATATCACTTTTACAATTTACTAAACATTTTTATCAATAAAATTATTAATATTTTAAACTTATTAAATTTTTTAGAAGTTTCATTACATATAATAATACAAATCTTTAATTTACAAAATCTTCTCTTAAATTTTATTATATATAATACAATATTCTTATTTATTTAGAATATAATAATTCTTGATCAATAAAACAACTTCAACCAATTCTAAAAAAACTAATTAACAATTTTCTTGCTTATTTAATTCATTATTTAACTAATTTAACTTTACTATTTGATAAACTTAAAACATTAAATAATATGAATAAGAATCAATATGAGAAATAATTGTTTTTACTAAAAAAAAAATAATGTTTGATTATTTATTATATAATCTTTTAATTTTAATAATAATGTTTATATTTAATATAATATACTAATTTATTTTTAAAACTCTTTTTCAAAATTTTATTATATATATTTGTTTTTATTAACTAAAACAATTCTAAGAGTTCCTTTTACTTTTCTCTATAGTTAATAATTACAATAGTTGATTTAATTAAAAACAGAAAATTAAAAATTAATATCATGCTAGATGTTGTTATATATATTGCAATAATAGTATAGTTTAAAAATATTTTATTTATATATTTATATCTAATTGATATACTTATGTATTATTATTTTTCCTACTTGATATATAAAAATAATAATAATAATAATCTTGCAAACTAGTTTGATATAATCTTTAAGTTTAGATAATATTTTAATTAATATAGCAAACTGTTTTTGAATATTTTTAAAACAATTAATAAATATTAAACCAAAACTTAATTGTATACAAAAGATATATATTAAATAAAAATTATAATTTAATGCATCTATTACATTTTAGAATAAGTATATTAGCATATAACAGGTTTTTAGTATTATAAATTGTATGTCAATTATATGTATTTATTTGAATTATATAAGGAGTGCACTATAATGCAAGTACACTATTTTAAAAAATTTATATTATTAAATATTTAATAAAAGTAATAGCAAACTGTTAAAAAATAAATTAAATTTTTGCTCACCATTAATATTTAAAAAAAAAAGTTTTTGCTAGGCAATTTTACTATTTAATTTATTTTTTTCTAATTTTTAATTCTAATTTTAACTATAAGTAAACTTTAAAGAATTTTTACTATATTACAAACCCGATACACCCTATAGAATTGCAATTACATGATTTATAGATGTTTTTGGTCTTATTCTAATTGATTTTACTTAAGATTTAACAAAACAAGTATATTAGTTAAAAAATTTTTGATGATTTTTAAGGCATGCCTCAGGCACAATAAGAAGAGTATTGCCTCAGTCTGAAGCATGACCTTTTGAATATATTTGTGTGCCTACAACTTTAAAAATAATTTCTTTCAAACAATAAATTTTACTTTAAAATTATAATTTATTAAAAAATTACAAATCCACCTAAATTTCGTTTCCACATACATTATATAAATCAATTAGTAACTTTATTAGTTTTAAAAAATATTTTTTTTTAAAAAAATTGCTATTATTTTATATATAATTATTACTATATGTTTTAATTTTAAATAATCTTTAAAATACACAATAACGATAATATTTTTATAACAACTAATTTATCAAATGTATTTCCGCTATATAAATTCAATGTTTTCAAATCTGATAACCGCATACTGATTTTGGTACATACGTAGTCAGTTAAATGACTACGTATCAGTGAAATGATTGCCTGCTAAAATCAAAAAGGAAAAAACTACGTACACATTCGCATGATCAGGCTAGGGGTTTCCAAAAAAAGATATTTACAAAAGTATCGTCATGAGTGTAACTTGCCGTAACTATAGTAAGTAATATTGATTAGTAACTTACTATTTTGCTATAGTTACAGCAATGTGACGACTATCATTGGGACGATTCTACTGCAACACTAGTCATGAGATCTGTGTTCTATGACCGCATAAAAATTTGTCAACGCATTTTTCGATTAAAAAATATGCCGTGATAGCATAGCGGACTTTCATTCTGATTGGCTAATGTTTGTGACTGATTGACTAATACAGTAGAAACGAGTTCGAAATAAAAAGAAAATTTCTAAAAATATTTATAGAATATTATATCTGGTATAAGTAAAATATATTATATTAGGTTAAGATAGATTAGAGTTAAAGGTGTATTTATAAGTAAGATTAGGTGTTTACCATTTTTACTTAAAGCACTACATCAGTTTTTTTTATACCCGGATAATTTACTCGCCGGATATAAATATATAGATAGATTTCAACTATAAATTTGAATTTAAAATATGTATTTTTAATATATTGTATCTGATTAAGCTCAATAAAAAAAACAATGTTTTTAAACTTAATTATATAAATAATTTTATTAACCAAATCGCTTACTAACAACTATCAATAAAGCAATGGAGAGCATGGACAGCATAAAAAACCAAACATTAACTATAGAGCTAAGCATGTGATCGTAGCTTTTAAAAACTTAGTCGAATAACCTATATTCAGAAAAATGGCAAAAAATCAATTGTAAGCATTATTGTTTGAATCGCTATTTTCAAGGTTTTAAAAAAAGCTTAGTACTTATTAGCCAAGGTACGAATTACCTTGCCGATTACTGAATTACCTTAACCTATAAGACTATAATGAAAGGTGTAGTCTCAGAATTTCCTTTGACAATTCGTTTAAAGTCAGATGGTATATGCAGTGTAATATGTGACGATACATTTAGTGATTGACCAATCAAAATTAAAGCCAGCTATGCTTGCCAAACAGTAGGGACAGTGCCCGATCCAAAGTGAATTCCTCTCGCCTGTGATCAATCACAAATTAAATTATTTATATGTTGAATGAACACCAGTTTTAATATATGGGGGTGAGTCAATAGAAATCAAGCAAATTTTTTACAATAAAAATTTTTGAAACTTTAAGCAAGAATAACTTAACAAGAATTTAATCAAATTTAATAAATTATTTTTTAAAAAAATTTTATAAATTTGTAGAATTAAGTTTAAAAAATCATTAATAAATTTAATTAAATATTTGTTAAGTAATCCTTGTTTAAAGTTTTTAAAAAAACTTAGTAAAAAATATTTGCCTGACTCAACCCCACGTGTAACATTAACGGTCTCTGCTGTTCGCTTGCTTAAAATCATGGGACGGTGAATTTTTTATGCAGAATGATGCTATGTTTAATAGAGCAATGTATTCTCTAAATTAGTTGAAACTTTTTGGCGACAAGAGTTTTGAAATACGTAGTAGAACTGATCTGTAGTAATGAAGGCGCAAGAGGCGCATGATCGATAATAGTATACGTGCTGAAAAGAGTAATTATTGTTAATGATCAGCATCTTTACTATCTTTACTGAGGATGATCCTAACATTTACACCCTGCTAAAGTCATTCACCCGAGTACAATTAAGTCATATAGTTTTTTTTGACACAATAACGATAACGTCAGTTAGTTAAAAAAGGAATAAAATAATAAATAATATAAAAACCTAAAACTTATTTTAATGATCATGTTTTTTTCAAGAAAAAAGTTATTCATGTATTAGTAATGAAAACAAATATGCATAAAGATGTCACTGTATAACGGTAAACTCGGGTATTATATATTAAATATCGTTATGGTATTGTATATACTTTGTTTCAGTTTCTGGGAAGAACTTGATTTAGATTAGATTAGATCAAATAATCAATCTTAATTCTAAACAAGTTTCATCCAAACATGAAATCACTAAAGTCACGAGCCAAATATTATACATTACGATTAGTCGTAACGATAATTATTTTGGTCTTTTGACACAGCAGCAGTATGTTTTTAGTTGACCAGATTAGATTTATTATAAGAGGGTGGATGAAAGACAAAAGAACAACGTACGTACATCGTGTTACAGAAGAACTGTAAGAAAAATAATAAATTGTCACAAGACACTAAACTGTAACATTCGATTCATTCATTAACACCACATGATCCCATTTCATTATTGTCGTTACCGAGTACTGTAAAATAATAATATAATAATATTATACGTATATAATTATATCCAAGTAAATGCGGAAATAACTTATGTATGGTACATACATATGTCGTACTAAATATTTGACATTCATACACAAAATAAACAAGAATAATAATGACCTGTGAGAAAATTTTGTATATATACGTATGTACCTACATTTACATCATATTTTTTTATAAATACTGTCCTAAAATCTTTTATCTTTTTGATTTTTTGATTTAAACAATAATTTATTCTTTGATTCAACAATAATTGACTCAACAATAATTAATCCTTTCGATTCAACAATAATTTATTAACAGGTAATTATTTGTATATCTATTTTTTTCATATGTGTAAAGATATTCGCGTCTTTTTAACTTTTCACTCACATCCTTAACTATATTAACTATATGTAGGTTTACGTTTTGACAATTTTTCCAAATTATAAACGAAAAGTAGCTGACGAAAATATGACTAGTAAGTATTAGTTTATTTTGCGTTATGTCTTGTTGTCAAGTATATCATATATATCTAATCATGTTTTAAAAATAGCCGTCGATATCATGAGCCCAAGTTCTATAGTCGATCAATTCGTTTTCAATCCGGGTTACCAACAATTTTTTGCAATAAAATCAAATTTCGAACAATTACGCATAAGCCAAACGAATTTCAAAACTCCGAGATTTCTTCGAGTCGATGATAACTTGTTTTCATCATCGAATTCAGATGAGATCACTTGCCCACATTGCTTTACCCCACAATCTGTTTTTTGTGTAGTTGAAGATATAAATGAACATTCAAAGAAATTTTATATTTGCATGTCACACGGTGATGATGGATGTGGGTGGCAAGGTGAAGAGAAACCGATTGAAGATGATACTAAAAAACGCATAAAGGAAAAATATGGGTTTATACCATTGCGACTAAATTAGATGGTTTTATGTTAAATATGCTTCCATAATAGTATACGTATAAAGCTTTTTTTCGTTTATATATATATATATATTTAATTTACATGTATTTTTGCTTACACATTTATATTTATATATCTATATCGACATATATCTATTTATATATATCTGGTATACATATATATTATTAATGTAATATAATAAAAAAATTGCTAAAACTAAATTTTTCGTGTCAACTTAGAATTGATAAAAATTCAAATTAACTAACTTATCAACTTATCGGAAATTTATCCTATTATTCCTATCATTTCTCCCCTTTTTCGCCCTTCATGCTAGAGGTTTTGTTTATCACGTGAATTTAGTAATATTTTAGAAACTTATCCAATTAAACTTTAATAAATTCTAAAATATCACAAAATTCATGTGTACTTACATTCATGTGATTACTGTCTTTAATGTCATTATTTAATTTAAAAATAGCAGACTTTCATTATCATATAAAAGAAGAACTTGGAAAATTTTGATGTAACATGTAAAAAAGAAATTTGCCTAAAAAAGTTTGTCATAAGACGTATGTATGTACGAAAAATATATATGTTACAGACTTCTATGAAAATGCTTATTGATACAATGAATGTAGCAAAACTCTATAAAGCACAACTAGTATTTGTCTTCATTTAAAACGTATAACGATAAAGACATTATTGTCATAGCTATCAACCCTAAAATAGGGATTTATTTAATTCTGTCAAATATAGTTTGCATAAATGTTTCCGTATTTTCCCACCCTTGGGTTCACACGCACCGATCGCGATCGTTCAAAGTTTTTTACCAAATAAAAAGCTTTTATTTTTTTTGGTTTGTACGCACATACGTACGGACATGCGTACCTTATTCGTCAGTCAATATGTTACGCAAATTGGGGGTAAAGTCTTCACTATAGGGAAATTCTATTTTCATCCGAGTAAACATTTTGTTGTATCGCATGATACGAACTTTATTGAAAGCCAATCTGACTGCGAAAGCTCTTCAGACTAGTAATTTGACCCGGGTGGGTGTCACCGGGTCACCCTCAGGCAGGGACCCGAAAAAGTTATGGCAAAAAGTGTTTTTTATTGAAATATAAAAATTTTATTTAATTTTAATTGAAATTATTATTTGTAATAAATATAAATTCTAAATTTCATTTATTGTCAGCTAGAATATTATTATAAAAAAAGAAAATTAGAAGTAAAACCTTCATAAGTACATCCTCTATAAGTGCACATCTTTAAATGCACGCTTAACGTTAAATTCGGGCCCAAATCTATACATGACCTTTATAAATGCACTTTTCTAAGTGCACATCATTAATACAGCAGAGACCATTAATGTTACACATATTAAAACTGCTAAGAGATTATATTCATCACAATTGAATTCAACATAAATAATTTAATTTGTTATTGATCACAGGCGAGAGAGATTCACTTTGGATCGGGCACTGTTTTTGTTGTACGTTAAAGTTCGGTCCCAAGAGCATGCACTTATCTTGAGACCAAATGTGTACTTAGAAAACAATATAAATTGAGGTTCAAATTTAAATATACATTTAAAGAAGGTGTGTACTTATAAGTAGATTAATTATGTTAGAAAAATTTCTTAATGATGATTATAATATTTATATATATATATTTTTAATGTTAAGGTAAGTACTTACAACTTAGGATTTTATTATTAGTATGTTTCAGCTAACAGCAAAGTAATTATAGAAAAAAAGTACAACTAGTCACTTATACAACTTTAGTTATTGTTTAATTTAAGTAATTTGTCTTATCTCAACTTCTTTACTTATATAGAAATAATATTTTTCTTAATAACTTTTGTCTTAATTAACTAACAACTTATAAACAAACCAATCAACTAAACAATATTTACAATTTCATTTTATCTTCAAATAATTCAACAACTCTAAGTCTTAAAAAGAATAAAATTCTCTTTTTTAAACAATTATTTACAGTTAATAATTACTATCTATTTCTTTAGAAAAACATATATCTTAGAATTTTTAAATTCTTCTAAAGTTCTATTTCAAACTAATTCAAAATACTCTCAAACTAAATATTCTCTTATTCTATATTATACATATAGTTCAATCTTTAGTTTTTATCAATTAATTTATTTTTAAATACATTTAATTTTATTATACTTTAATTTAATAATTTTAAAAATACATAAATATTCTTTTTTTTTTTTTTGGTATTAAGGTGAGGTCTTGCTCATATCTTTATTAGTAATTTTAATTGTACATATTAATATACTATATACTAAGATATACTAAAATTATAAATTACAAAATAAAAATTACATGCAAGAATTAAAGCTTAGACAGTTTTATATGCGACCTAAACCGATACATAAACATTTTATATTTTATTTTTAATTAATATATAAACAAAATAACAAATATATCTAACTCATTAATATTTTTTAAAATTATCAAATTATTAACTTAACAACCAATACAATTTATATTTTTTTTATATCTATAATATTTTAAATAAACTATAAATATACTATTAATTTAAAATACAAAACACAAAATAATAATATTTTGAACTTAATATTAATAATTAAAAAATTCAAATATTTCAAAATATTTATATAAAATTATATTAATTTATTTTATAATCATTACAATTTCTTGTATCATTATTAAAAATTCTTCTAATACAAAATATTATATAATTTTATATATCAAAATTAACTTATAAACTTTTACAAAAAAAAATATTTTCTAGAACCAATTATTCTGTATTTTTATACAGATACATCTATATTCAATTTATAAATATATAACATCTATATTATCATTATCTAGATTTTTAAAAATAATATGCAAATTAAATTTAATGTTTCAATAATCTATACATCAAACTTAATATGAACTAAACTAAAAATACTTATTTTTTTATTTTTTATTCTAAAATTCAAATCTCAGTGTCAGTAAAAATTTGAAATTCTTTCTGTATTATGATTAACTGTCTTCTGCTATTAGTTGGAATCAGATACCTATTATCTATATCATATCAGTATAATTGGAAGGTTATATGATATTTATACAATATTTGTATCTTGTATAAAGGAACACAAACTAGTACTAAACAATATAAACTCATGATAAGTCCTTATAGTTGTATAAATTACAGAAATCAGAAAAACAAAAGCTTATTTAAAAGACTTAAATAGAAAGATAGTCTGAATTTTTGACAATGTTATTGTAAAGACTAAATCTATAAAATAAAGTTAAAATTTGTAAAGTCAGATGAAAACAAGTCAATCTTTGGAAAAGAATTATTATAATTAGCCAGATTACTAGAACCTGTTCTGAAGAAAAAGATTACATGCCAAAAGATTATATAAACAAAAAATATAGTTGTATTTATCTTTTTAGGCTATCTAGACTAGAAGCTTGATAGAACTTAAATTGAATACCAAGTAGTAAGAATATGTTGTGAAATAAGTATTAGAGTTAAAGTAAACCTTACAAAGTCATAGTAGTTTAATAGTACACCCTGACTGTAAGTATTAGTCTTAGCTATAGTGATATCAAGTCAGCTATAAAAATATAATATAGAAGATTCTAAAAGATTTAATATAAGATCAAAGGTTCTTTATATGAATAAATTGCTTTAAAGACTTAGTGACTATAATATATTTTCATTATTATTAGCCAGAGTTATTAGTAAGCAAAAGTAAATAAATAAATATAGAAACTAGAATGTTTAAATAAAAAACCTATAAGTAGGTTTCAGGTATAACAGCTAATATAGAATCTTTGGGCAAATTACTTAAATTAGACAATAATTAAAGTTGTATAAATGATTAGTTGTATACTTTTTTCATAGTTGCTCTCTGTAGTTGTAATGCAACTATTAGCCAAATATACTATCAATAAAATTTTGGGTCATAAGTATTTATTTTAATATTTAAAAAAAAAAACTAATTATTAAATTATATTTAGCTTGATAATTTATATATTATTTAAATTCTCACAAATTTAATATCTTATAAGTATAATTTACAAATTATATAAAATAATTAAAATATTATATTCTAAATTATTTAACTAAATTCAAAAATATTAATTATATTATATA